AGCCCGGTGCCCGCCCGCGTGCCCGCGCGCCTTTGTCCCCGCCGCCCGCCCCTCACCGTGTCCCTCCGTCTCTCCCCCGCCCGCCGGCCCGGACCCGCCCGGACCCGGACTCGACCCGACCTCGACCGGGCAGAGGATAAGCAGGTACGTGCGCGCTGCCGCTCAGCTTGCCGAGACCCGGCTGGCTGTCACCCTTTGTGGCACTAACGCCGCCCGCGCCCAGGCGCGACCCCGCCCCCGCCGGCCGTCATCCAGCCCAGTCGCGGTTACCGATTGTCAGCTGGGGCAGTGCTGGGACTCCTGGGGTTTCAGGGGCACCGAGGGGTGCCAGGCCAGAGTGGGTGCCTGGTCTCCTGACCCTCACAGCAGGGGTTGCGCGCCCTTCCCCAGGATGGGGGGATGGGCCGAGGGTCCCTCTTCCTCTGGTCCAGCGCCAGCATCTCCTTGCTGGCCTGGCGGAGTGCTGGGGGTCCTGGGTGAGGCTATGGTTGTTGCAGTCCACGGGAGAGGGGTGGGGGATGAGGGACTCAGGACCTACCAGCCTGTGCACAGTCCCTGAGCTGCTCCACAGAGCAGCTTCTTGCCACCCTTCCCCACTGTCACAGCACCTTCATGCACCTGTCCCTGTCCACACACACATTTCAGTGTACTGGTTTGTGGCTGGGCCTCTTCCCCACACTAGGAGCTTCCAAGGCCTAATCTGAGTCATCCCAGCGCCCAGCTCAGGGCCTCAGACCCAGTGGGTACAAATAGGCTGTGGCTTCCCAAAAGGGCTGGCCTGGTCCCCACCCTCCAGGAATGCAGGACTCCATGGGAGGCTGGCCCCTGCTGAAAAGCCAAATGAGCTCAGGGTTAAACAAAGCCCAAGACCCCTGGTTGAGTGGGGGTGGGGTGGGGCTGATAAGCAGGTGGGCTGGGGACTCCGGGGTAGCCCTGGAGGTGGCCTTTCTACCTTGAGCTCAGCCATTTTGTAGAGGAGAAGGGCCCAATTCTGGCACCAGGGTGGCCTGGGCAGCCCCCATCATGATGGGGTTCACCCAAACCATGGATGCTGGCCCAGGGTGCAGCGGCCAGGGCAGGAGATCCCAGCAGGGAGGGGAATTCCCCCAGGGAATCCACATCCTGCTTGGACAAGTAATGGCCAAGGGGGTTGGGAGGTAGGAGTGAGACTCCTGTCCTTCTGACCTGGGGCTTCCCAGAGGCTTTGCCTTGGGTGGGGGGTGGGGGGTGTAGACTGAGGCAGCCTGCAAGCCACAGCTCCATTAGACACCTTCCAGGCTGAGGCCCAGGCCCAAGGCTGTCTGTCTTTCTGGAGACATTCTGAGTGTCATGAGATGCCTGTCCAGTGTGTGCTGGGCTAAGGGCTGTGTCCTCAGTAGAACTATGGTTAGAGGTTGGGTGACTCTCAGCCCAGAGGCTTCCTGCAGGTCAGGGACAAGTGGACCAGTAGGGTAGCTTTCTGGGAGCATGGGCTGTGGGAGCTGTGGGAGCTGTGGGAGCTGGAGGATGTGGCTGCCCCCTGTCCTCTGCTGAAAGATCTCCTGTTACCAGCTCTGAACCCACTCCTTCCCTGATGCCAGCAGCCTTCAGGCCTCAAAGCAGGACTAGAGCATGGTCAGGGTAGAGGTCCTCAGCCAGTAGAGAGCCAAGAAGGCAGGGTCTGTGTTGAGAGAGCCAGGGGCTCTGCTCCTGTTGTCCCCAGGCCAGCCCTGGAGACTCTGCCGGGCCTCTTTCCTGCCACAGGCTCACTGGGATTCTGGTGGGGTCCTGAAGGTAGACAGTGAGGAAAGGTTTGGGGGCCCACAGAGAATGGTTCTTTTACTCAGGAGACTTCTGTGGTCCCTGGGATGGTCATAGGAGGGTGAGATCCAGCTGGCAGGAACTCTGCAGTCCCATAGATCCTTTTTTTATGGATTGCAATGAGCAGGGACACTCAGAGGCCATGGGAGTGTTCACTGGAGCTGGTGGGCAACAGGTCCCACTCCGTCTTCCCTATCGCACCTCCAACACCCCCCCCCGGGGGAGTGGACAACTGGGGGAGGCAGCGATGGCACATGGTGATGAGGATTTTCAGCGGGCTGACAGGGGCTTCCAAGTTTTGGGAGGTGCCCATTACAATGGGCGCCTGCATCTCCTCCCTCCTTTTGCCCCATCTAAGCCTCCAGGGCCAGGGGTGGGGAGCCGTCTGGGTTGGACTTTAGAGAGAGGTGGGCTCAGCCCTCGTCCGGTCCTCTGCACGTCTTGGAGCGTCACATTGAGAAAGAATACGCTAACGCACGCGCTTGTGCAAAAACAAGGATAGACGAGAGCGGGGTTGGGGGCATACGGGGGAGTGAGTCCCTGGGCAGCTGGGATTCCAGGCACCGCCAGGAGGCTCTCGGGCGAGTCCGCCAGCGGAGGACGGCATCTGTGGGGCCGGTTTCCGCGCGGTTGCGCGTGGGTCCCGGGAGCGTCCTCTGGCGCCCTCTGGCGGGCGGAAGGGGAGCCGCCTCTCTGGGGAGCGGGACACCGCAGCCTCAGACTCCACTCTGCCGGCGACCCGGGCGCCCCATCCGGCCGCGTGCGGGGCCCGACGGCCCAGCCGCTAGGAATGAGGCCGCGGGTGTGTGGCGGGGTTCCCGGTCCGCTAGGCGCCACGGCCCGCCTGCGCCTCTACTCGGCCCTGCCCTCCGCAGCAGCTCTCATGTGGCTCCGCCTGCGGCCCAATTTCTAGGCGACAGTTTCCCGGCGACAGAGGGCGGGGCCGTCCCCACCGCCCCCTACCGCGAGCTCCCTGGGCGCCCGCATAGCCCCGCCTCCGGGCCGGGTGCGGGAGCGGACAGGCCTGCTTGAGGCTGCGACGCTACCACAGCTCCGGACGGGTCCGCACGGGCAGGGGAATGACTCGGGCGGCCTCCGGGGCCGGCGGCCCCCAAGAAAGACGAGGTCCCCTCTCCAGGCCTCAGTTCCTGTGTCCGCAAAACGGGGCCCAGAACACGGCGTAGGGGCAGTACCACGTGTAAGTCCCTCCGACTACTCGGCTCCATCAGGCTGCCCCGGTCTGGGGTCCGATCACGGCCGGCTGGGTCGCGGGGGTCGCCGCTATGGACTCGTTAGCAGCACCCCAGGACCGCCTGGTAGAGCAGCTGCTGTCGCCTCGGACCCAGGCCCAGCGGCGGCTCAAGGTGTGTGTGTGTGGAGGGGGTGAAATTTGGGGCAGTGCGTGTGCGTCCATTCAGCCGGACTCTGTAGGCTCTGGGACGTGGCAGGGGCCAGCAGGGCCAGGGGCCTTTGGGGGTGGGCTGTCAGGCCGGCAGGCGGGGGAGGCTCAACGCTGTTGTCTATAAATAGCCCCTGCTCTTCGGCTGCTGCTGCAGCTACCCCCGCGGCTGGATCAGGGCCAGATGGGGCCTCCCACCCCCTGGTATTCTCCCAAGGGGTGAGTGTCCAGGCCCTGTGGAGGCCTTGGCTGTGCCTGAGGGTCTCAGACCTGCTGCCTTCTGTCCCCGGAGGGAGGACATGGGCTGTGCCTGCTGCTGCTTGACATCTGACCTCCCCCCACACACACACACACACATACAAACACAAACATACGGAGTCTCTGGTCCTGCCCAGCCCTTGCTGAGACTGGGAAAGACTGCCTTCCCCTGCCACCCCTTCCTGCCTTCCCATCCCCAGGCCTTTGCTCAGAGGCCCTGTTCCGTTTTTGCCACTGAAATGCCCTACCCTTTGGACAGTGCCCTCTGCTGTCTCCTCATCCTGTCCAGGAGACAGGGCACTGGGCTGCAGAAGGAAGCCCAGTGTAACCCTGATTGCCAACCCTCCCCCAGGACATCGACAAGCAGTACGTGGGCTTTGCCACACTGCCCAACCAGGTGCACCGCAAGTCGGTGAAGAAGGGCTTTGACTTCACACTTATGGTGGCTGGTGAGTGGGCCAGGCCCAGGTGCAGTGGCTGGGGCTGCTGGGCAGCTAGGCTCAGTCTTAGTGCTCCCGGACCTAGCCCTACCCTTGCTCTGTACCTCTGTGCAGGTGAGTCGGGCCTGGGGAAGTCCACGCTGGTCCACAGCCTCTTCCTGACCGACTTGTACAAGGATCGGAAGCTGCTCAGTGCAGAGGGTGAGTGCCCCCCAGCCCAGACACTGATCCCCAGATCCCTGTCATGGGACCCCCCCCCCCACCAAGGGGCCTCCTTCCAGGTCCAGCCCCTGCAGTTCCCTTCTCAGAATGTGGATCCCCTGGGCCAAGGCACCAGGATGGATGGGGACCAAGGTCCTAGCTGCCTGGGATAAGGAGGGTGAGGGATGGAAAGGCACCTCCAAGCACACCCCCCTCCCCCAGAGCGCATCAACCAGACGGTGGAGATCCTCAAGCACACAGTGGACATCGAGGAGAAGGGTGTCAAGCTGAAGCTCACCATCGTGGACACGCCGGGCTTCGGGGACGCTGTGAACAACTCTGAGTGGTGAGCACAGCCTGCCTGGGCATGCTGCCTGTCTGGTTTGGAGGGCGGCTCTGGCAGCCCGGCCTCATGCACCCCTCCCACCTGCAGCTGGAAGCCCATCACCGACTATGTGGACCAGCAGTTTGAGCAGTATTTCCGGGACGAGAGTGGACTCAACCGCAAGAACATTCAGGACAACAGGGTGCATTGCTGCCTGTATTTCATCTCCCCCTTTGGGCACGGGTACGTGGCTGTCTCAGGGCCAGCTGGGGAGCCTGCCCCCTGTACTGTCTCCCTCTGGCTCCTTCACCATGCCTATGCCCTGGTTGATCCCTACAGGCTGCGGCCAGTGGATGTGGGTTTCATGAAGGCCTTGCACGAGAAGGTGAACATCGTGCCTCTCATCGCCAAAGCTGACTGTCTTGTCCCCAGTGAGATCCGGAAGCTGAAGGAACGGGTGAGCCTCTGTGGCAGAGGGGTCTGGCCCAAGACCAGGTGGGAGGAGGGCATGAGGCTGGGCTGTCAGGCCCCAAACCTGACAGCCCTCGCCTGGCTGCAGATCCGAGAGGAGATTGACAAGTTCGGGATCCACGTGTACCAGTTCCCCGAGTGTGACTCTGACGAGGATGAGGACTTCAAGCAGCAGGACCGGGAACTGAAGGTGGCCATGCAGTCCAGTGGGGACAGGAGGACAGAGGTGGCAGGGAGGAGAGAGCCATGGGCCAGAGGGTACTAGATGGGCTCTTTTCATACAGAGCCAGAGAGGGCTGAGCACTCAGGTCTGACCTGGCTGGGATGGGGTCATTTGTTGGGAGTTAAAGGCCTAGAACTAGAGGATGAGGGGCACCCATGTGCCCGCCTGGCCTGTGCTGGGTCATTTGGCCCCACACAGGTGCTTAGTGAATCATGGAGCACTTGCTGGGATCCAAAGATGCAGCTGCTGGCTAGACTCCCACGCCAACCCTGTTCCCACAGGTCACCAGTGGGAGGGCCTGGCTCTGTAGCCACAGGGCTGTGGCATGCCCTGCCTCCCACCTAGAATTCTGATGGGCGGGAGGGGGAGGTGGTGGCTGTGGTTGTCCCACCAGCTAGATGGTGATGATGGAGACCAAGCCAGGAGCAGGTGGCCATTAAGGCAGGAGCAGAGTGTCAGCAGGGCCATCAGTACCAGGCTGCATAGGCTCAGCCCTGGGAGAGAACTGGGAAGTAGCTGCATAGGGAGGTCTTGGTGGGGGGAGGAGATGGAGAGGAGGGAGCGAGCGTCTAGGCACAGCCTGGCAAAGGCCCTGGTGGTGTAAGCTGCACAGGCTTAGGCTTCAGTGGGCAGCAGAGAGGCTGGAATCCCTTTGGGGAGAGGTCAGCGATGGTGATGCTGCAGGGCCTACCTGAGCTAAGCGCCCATGCCCCTCTCCAATCACTGACCCTTCACGTACGCTGACCAGGTCTGAACCCTTCCCTTTCCCCCAGGAGAGCGCACCCTTCGCGGTTATAGGCAGCAACACGGTGGTGGAGGCCAAGGGGCAACGGGTCCGGGGGCGACTGTACCCCTGGGGGATCGTGGAGGGTGAGTTGGGGCACGGGCACCAGCACTGACACAGGATACAGGGTGGGAAGGCCGCCTGGGCCGGCGCGCACCCACCCCCTGGGTGACTGTGCCCCTAGGGGATCATGGAGGATGAGTTAGGGCACTGGGCACCATCTCGGGTCATAGGGCGGGAAGGCTGCCCCAGCCGGCGCCCACCCACCCCCTGCTCCTGCGCAGTGGAGAACCAGGCGCACTGCGACTTTGTGAAGCTGCGTAACATGCTCATCCGCACGCACATGCACGATCTCAAGGATGTGACGTGCGACGTGCACTACGAGAACTACCGCGCGCACTGCATCCAGCAGATGACCAGGTACGCCGCCTCGCCCCTCTTGGCCCCACCACCCACCCGACCCCCCCCCAATCAACTCCCCAGCACTTGGTCTCCCAGAGCCAGCCCGGGGGTGTGAGGCCTGGGAAGGCACGGCCTTGGTAGTGGGGGTGGGGTCGACAACCCTTAGCCGTAGCCGCTGAGCTTCCCAGCAGCGCTGTGGCTCCCACCCGCAAACCCACAGCAAGCTGACCCAGGACAGCCGCATGGATAGCCCCATCCCCATCCTGCCACTGCCCACCCCGGACGCGGAAACCGAGAAGCTCATCAGGATGAAGGATGAGGAGGTTAGAGGAGCGAGGACGGGGCGGGGCAGGTGGGCGTGGCCAAGGGCCGATGGGCGTTCCTCACCGCTCCGTTGCCCTGCCCCCCAGCTGAGGCGCATGCAGGAGATGCTGCAGAAAATGAAGCAGAAAATGCAGGACCAGTGACCCCGTCCCGCCCACGTCGCCACGGATCCGCCAGCGTCTCCGGGATGGCCCCTCCCGCCCCTGGAGCCTGGACTCGACCCTGGTTTCACCTGGTTCTTGGACTAGCCTGGACCCAACCCTAACCTACAGTGGCCCAGATCGGACTGTCCCCAACCTGGAGACACGGGCACAGCCTCCGCTGACCCTAATTTATTCTCAGCACCACCCCCTCCCACGTCATTTGTATCTGCTTCCGAGGGGCCTGGACAGTGACACCCCCCAGTTGCCCCCCACCTTGGAGGATCAGGAGCTAAGATGGTTTGCGACTTCTGAGATTTCCCCTCCCCCTCCTGGAAGGTCAGCGCACCCAGGCAGGCGGGCAAACCCAGGCGGAAGAGAGGAATGGATCCCCAGGGTCCCGCAGAGCGGACTGGGGAACCCTCCTAGGTTTGCTTCCGCGGGCCACCCAGCATATGCTGGAACCCCACTTTGTGCAGAGGTGGGCCAGGTCCTCCCTAATCTCCTCACTCACGCACCGCAACCCCAGCGGGCGGGGCTGGACGGTTGCAGCAAATAGGAACCCTCCCGGGGCTGGAGACTGCTGCGGGGAGGGTGGCGGGACACCCGTGCGGGTCCTTGCCTCTTCTCCACAGATCCGGCTGGACCTGGACGGCTCCAGGGGCAGCGGGATGTGTGCCATCCCCTGGCAATTCCCTGTGCTGGGAGGGCCGTGCCCTGCCCGCAGCTGGAGGTCTCCTCCCCAGCAGCACTGCCGCTCAGGCCTCCAGCACTGGGCCTCCCGGATTCCCCCCTTCACCCCGCATGACCCCTCTCCTCCACATTATGCTCCGTTTTGTTTGATTGTGAACGCTGCGTCCTGTCCTGGTGACAGAACAATGTTGTTGAACGTCTCAGCGGGTGTCTGAGTGCTCCATGCGCCCCTGGGAGCGGGTGGGAGCGGAAACCGGGGACCTGCAAGCAGTGGTGATAGCACGCTATCTGCGTCCGCAGCGCCGGTCCACGCGGCCGCAGGGTTATTTCTGGCCCTGCCACAGCACCGTGGTCAAGGCAGCGGGCGGGAGGGACTGGCAGGGGTGGGACGGCCTTATCGCCAGGTTCTCCGGCCAACACACCTCCTGATCCAGAGCGAGCCGTGCTGCCGTCCTCTCGCCATGGGCTCCGGTGAGTCTGCGTCCAGTCGGCCCGGCCGCTCCCTATGCAGACGAAGGTTGGGCGGTACTTGGGTCAGACTTAGAGGGGACTTTTACACAGCGCGCGGTTGCTCTGGGTGGAGAGGACTACAGGCTAAGGTAGTCGCGGTCTTCGCGAGCTGGATGGAGGCTGGTCCGGCGCTCTGGGTGCTCAGGGACACCCAGGTGCCCCGCTGGCCGCCCGGCTGACCCAGCACTTCCCTTCCAGGGCCGCGCAGGGCGCTGAGCCTACTGCTCCTTCTACTGGCGCCGCCGAGCCGCCCCGCCGCGGGCTGCCCTGCGCCCTGTAGCTGCGCAGGGACGGTCGTCGACTGTGGGTGGCGCAGGCTGACTGGGGCCTCGCTGCCGGCTGTCTTCCCTCTGGGCACCACCGAACTGGTGCTGACTGGCAACAACCTGACGGCGCTGCCGCCGGGGCTGCTGGACTCGCTGCCGGCACTGCGCGTCGCGCGCCTGAGCGCCAACCCCTGGCACTGCGACTGCCGCCTGGTGCCGCTACGCGCCTGGCTAGCCGGCCGCCCCGAGCGCGCGGCCTACCGTGACCTGCGCTGCGCCTCGCCCTCTGCGCTGCGCGGCCGCCTGCTGTCCTACCTGGCAGAGGATGAGCTGCGTGCTGCCTGTACTCCCGGCCCGCTCTGCTGGGAGGTTCTGGCGGTTCAGCTCGCGCTGCTCGGGCTCGGGCTGCTGCACGCGCTGCTACTGGCGCTGCTTCTGTGCCGCCTGCGGAGGCTGCGCGCCCGCGCCCGCGCCCTGGCGGCACACCGGCTGTCGCTCACCGCCCCCCTGGTGGCGAAGCCCGCCGGAATTGGCGCGTCCTGAGAGGAGTCAATTGGCTCTGAGCAACATGAACCTGCAAACTCGACGGGACCCTGCCCAAGAAGCGCCCTTTCCACCCTGGACCCACCTGGCCTCTGCCGCTGCCCAATCTCGTAGACACACACGGGCCCACTGGCCCAGATCCAGTCTGCCGGAACTGCTGCCCTCCCCACGAGGCAGCCATGCCCTCTATGCCCAGGAGGTCAGGAGGGTGAAGTGTAGCCCAGGCCCTGCTCAATCCCCCCTCCCAAACTTTGGTGCTGAATAAACCAGTTCTCCTACAGAAGATGTGACAGGTCTCTACACCACTGACCTGGACATTTCCCTCAAAAAGCACCAGAAAAGTTCCCCTGGGAAGTTCAAGGGGACACAACTGCATCTTCACACACATCCACACCCACCTTGGGGCAAACAGGAGTCAGTGGGAGATGACTCCTGTCAAACTCTGAAAGATCACAGGGGAAGGCACAGAAGATACTCTTAAATGGGAACACAGTGGGGAGAAAGAAGACACTGGGGGGCAATGAGGACATTGTGGGAGTGAGGACTCTGCGGACAAGGCAGTCTATCACAGCAGTGTGACCTCAAGAGTCTGAGGATGCTCTGAGTAGGGTTCCTGTGGGCAGCGCAGGGCTGGGAGGATGGTCTGAGTGTAGCTTCGGGGCTGAGGTGTCCCCTGTGCAGGGACCATGCTGTATGGACCCTACTCAGAGTAGTGGAGTGGGCTGGGTTTGTCCCTCTGCAGACAGAGGGTGCTGGGTGGCAGGCTGGTCTGTCTGAGGCTCCCTATAAGAAATCAGTCCCTGGGATATGAAGCTGTGGGCAGTGGGGTCCCTGGAAGGCCCTGCAGGTGTGAGGGGATGCCAGAGTTCCTAGGGTCTCTGGAATAATTGTGTCCTGGAGTAAGCCAGGCCCCCCACCACCCTGACCCCTCCAGACACCCCCAAATCTCCCTCCTGTGCAGCTTCCCCAGGCCCCAGGCTATGCATGCTGTCTTTGCCTCCCAGTGGGGCCCTAGACACACTGTTCTTTCTGCCTGGTACATGGTCCCTTCACACCACTGCTCCTTGTCCATCTCCACATCTCCAGTGAGTCCACCCTCAACTGCCACTTCCCTTGGGAAGTGCTCTCTGACCCCCAGACCTGTGAGGGGTTTCTTAGAGCCCTCCAGTCCCCAGCCTCCTGCTGTTCCTCCCAACCCTGGAGCTCAGCATCCAGGGCCTCTGATTCCTCCTGGGTGCTCAGGTTGCTACAGGCTGCTAGCAAGGGCACAGAGTGCCCAAATGAGGAGGCCGCACCTTCCTCTCCATTGGGGTCAGCCTGGAAGTACCTAGAACAAGGTCCCTCTTTCACCCTGGAGGCAGCCCCCACCCACTGGGGCCATATACAATAAAGACTATTCTCCATGCATTCCAAATGGCCCCAGAAAAGAAGCCTCAGGTCCCAGCCGCCTGGCACAGGAAGGCCCCTGGCCCTCACTGACCACCACTGACTGGGTCGGGGAGGCTGCTGCTGACATGGCCTTTGTCCTGGCCTTTGTGGGACAAGACAGATGACCCTCCCACAGGGCTGATGCTATCTTGAGACTGTCGGTCAGACATGAGGCAGGAGCCACCCTCTCTTTTGTGGGCAGGTGCGGGGCATCCGGCCCATTGTGGCCTGCAGCCGACTGTGCAGTTGTCCATCCGGCCTTATCGCCACATCGGGGTGGTGACCCCCTTTGTACAGATGCACAGTCCACCTTGCTGTCCCCAGGGGTGGCCCAGCACCCCCAGAACTCCTGGCAGAGGTCAGAAGTAACAGTCATCACAACAAGGTACATCAGCAACTCTCCAAACTGAGTCCCAATAGGGTGCAGGGATGAGGTACGCTCGCCACTTTCCAAAAGAGAAAGCCAACCCCCAAAGGGCACATGCCACTGGACCCTAGAGCTTTCTTATTATCTACCCTGGGAGCAGAGCTGGGACAGGCCCCTGGAACTCCCCACCCTTGGTCACTGAGGCCTTCTGGAGGCCCAGGAGAAAGAGACTGGGGTCCTATTTGACCCCAAGCTAAGAAATGGAGACCACTTTGGGCTGTGGGACAAGGTCCCAGAAGGATCTGCAGGAACTCGTCCACAGGAGCTCAGGCCCACTGCCCACAAGGCTTGCAGGGTCTAGACCAGTGTGTCCCTGAGAGGGTGGCATGGGGGCCTGAGGGCCAGAACTGAGGAAGCGGGGTATCCTCTGATGGAGAAAGCTGCTGGAATCACAGTGTGGCCACACATAAGGAAGAACTTCCTGCTCTCTGGTCAAAGGGACAGCTGAGCCCTATGGGTCCTCCAGAATATCCCCTTTGACAGTTCTCTGTGGTCTAGGTAGGCTCATGCCAAGGTATAGATCATGGAGGGCACAGCTTGGCCCGCTTGGCTGACTTCTCAGGCTGCCTAGGAGCCCCCATTCCACCTTCTAACCCTGAGCTGACCCTGGAGTCTCAGCTGTGGCCAAGAAATGTGGGGAAATGGCTGGTCCCAGCTCAGTGCCGCTGAATGGCCCGGAGGGGTACACACCACTCCCCACTGATAAGCTAGTCACCTCTGTGGCCCCAGGCCCTCCTTCCAGATGAGAACAGGTAGGAGGCCTCTCATCGCCTGCTCAGAACCCACACCTCCAGACCCCAGGTTTACTCCCCGCCCTGCAGCGTCAGGATCCTCAGACCCTCCCCCTGCCACCAGCCTCTCTGGGCTCCCAGTCTTTGGTGCATCCTCCCCCATGGGTAAGGCCTCAGCCAGTCTTTGGTGCATCCTCCCCCAAGGGTAAGGGTCACCTTTGCTTCCCAGCCCTGCCCTAGCCTGATACATGGGGCAGGATGCTGTATCCATGTTGGTGTCCTCAACATGGAGCTCGAGTTTTATCTGGGGCCTACACACAGCCAGCTAGTGAGCAAGTGAACAAAAGGTTGAATATGGTGAGTCCCAGGATGGCCAGATAGTGGCCCGAGGTAGACACAGCGTGACTGGGAGCCCCTGCGTCCTGGTCTGTGAAATGGGCCCTTGAAGCCCCAGGCCCAGCGCCGGCGCGTCCTTCCCTCTGGCGCCGCGACCCTGGGAAGGCACCAGGGGGCGCTCGCGATCTGCAGAAAACGCCCGCTGCGGGGCTAGCGCTGACCCAGGCACGCGCCGGGTGCAGAAGACCTGGCCCTGTGCAAAGAAACAGAGGCCTGGGGAGGAGGGGACTAGTTCAGTCTGCAGGGGACGCCCCGGAGAGGAAAAGGCAGATTGCTCCTCTTGGGAGCAGGCTGGGGAGCGCCGCGTGGCTGCTGACCGACCGAGTGCGGGGATGGCGGCCCCTTCCCCTATCCTGGCTCACTGACAGCCTGTCACGGGGGAAGATAAGGGACATCTTCCGCCAGGGATGGGGGTGTCAGCGCAGGTGATCCCTCCCGCCTTCTGCTGGTGTTTGCTCCATAAACACTTATTGGGCTCCTGCAGTGTGCACTGTGGAGCAGGGCGGGGCAGGCGACCGTGAGGGCCTTTACTCCTCAGCTCCTGCCAGGAAGGACGGTCCAGGGCCTGGCAGTGACTCAGGAAAAGAGGATCCACCACCTCCCCATCAGTCGGTTGCCAGGGCTGCACAGCACAGGTCTGCTCAGGCCCCTCCAGCCTGGGGAGGGGCCAGATTCAGGGGCTGGGCTGACCCCTACTCGGGAGGCCTGACTGTGCCCCAGTGGAGGAGGTCCTGGGAAGGTCTGGGGGGCCAAAGCCCTGGCCACATTGGGGGGGGACTGCACCCGCTGCCCAGACGGAGCAACAACATTGGGGTGGGTGGCAGGGCCCTGGGGGCCCATAGCTCAGCACAGCGTCTGCGCCCACCCCCGATGTTTCCTATGGAAGACAAGCAGCTGGTGATAAATCACCTGTGCCCTGCAAGGGTGGGGAAGGGGAACAGTCTGTGACAGAGTCAGGGCTTGAGACAGAGACAGCCAGCCCCAGAGAGAGAGAGAGAGAGGGCAGAGAGACAGAGGTTCTGACGCCAGACAGGTCCCTCTCTTGAGCGTCAGGCCTCCCCCCTGCCTGGGAGCCCCCTCCACAGAGCCCATCTGGAAACCAGCTGAAAGCTACCCCACCCCCATCCCATTGACCCCCAACAGGGAGGCAGAGGAGGAAGGGCTGGCCTTTGCAGTCATAACTCCAGCCCCCCTGGACTGTAAATCAGTGGGGGGCTCTTGAGAAGCACTACCCTCCCCCACTGAGGAAGGTCTTCGGGGTCACTGTCCTGGGGACTGGCCTTAAACAGCTGTTGGTGGAATCCTCTAGACCCCCTTTTCCCAGCACTGTCCAATGGGCCCAGAGCCATCTACATCCACACACTCTTACCCATCTCATCTCTCTCCAAAGGCAGGAAACATCTATAGGGATTGACAGTTGTCTCCTCATCAGGAGACCCCTGTCACTGGCCCCACATGAACTGCAGGTCAGGGGGCCCTCCCCTGAGAAGCCTCCTGGGGTCTGCTCTGCCCCAGGGGAAATGCCATCTGTCCCTTCTTCCTTCCGTCCTGCCTTCCTGTCACATCCCCCTCCCCTGCAGGGTGCTGTGGGCCAGCTGGACAAAGGGTGCTGAGAGATGGGCCAGGTGAGGCCCCCAGGTGAGAGCACACCCTCCCATGCACAGGGCAGATGTGAACCTGAGGGAGAGACTTGAGAGAGCCTGAGGGAGTGTTTCCCTAGAGCAGACCCCAGGACAACCTCTTAGGACCCCTGAGGTGGCCCTAAGGCCACTTATGCACAAGGAAATAATGTCCACCATGAAATCACCCAGGGCCTATCTCAAGAAGTGGTGGCGTTGGGAACAGAGTGAGAAAATTCCTTATCCAGAAGTACCCTTGGAGCTCTTGGTATTCTGTGCAGAGAGAGGCACTGAGTGTCCCCTGGGCTGGTCTGGTCCTGGTCACATGGATGGTCCCCTTGACTCTCAGAACAAACCCTCAAGTTGGACACCAGAGACAGCTCAGGGGAGGGTGCACAGTGCCCAGCTCAGCCTGTGTCTGGTGTCTCCAAGATGTTCCGGGGAAGAGAGAGAGGGGAAAAAGGTGCCAGAGCCTGCCACCCAGCATTCATCTGTTCTCCATCGTATTCATCCCCACGTTCGGCCCTATCTGGAGCTCCTCAGCCCACTCTCTAGCCTTCCTGATGGGACCAGCCTAAGAGCACTGCCAGCTCCCTCCTGCTCCCTGGGGAATCCCCTGGTTGTGTTTAAGCTCATCAGACAAATTGAGG